TATGATTTCTTGGGATTATTAAAAAAATTAGTGGGTGAATTTTTACCATTATAGGCTGGTTGTTTTCACACACTGCGGCCACACAACTGTGTTCAAACACCTTATAAAAGTGATTTTTGCATAATAGGTCACCTTTAAAATGAATATATAAAAGATTTAAAAAAGAACATGAGTAAATTTAATTTTAAGATACATACTATGTTACAAAAAATGTATTATGGTTATATTTTGCTCAGAGCCCCTATTACTTTCTGACACTGGCATACAGTGTAAAGCTATTGAATATTTCCACCATTATTACCCAGGAAAGACAGATACAATTCATATATTGTATCTGCAAGTAAGTGTGACATCGACCCAGTTCTTCCCGCCACTAACCTGTTACCCAACAAACAGGAAGAAACCAGATCTAAGCGAAGGTTGTAGAAATTTGCGAAGATGTTAGGTGTCGCCCAGCCCGCAGCTCTGCAGATGTCTGCTATAGAGGCGCCATGTGCCAAAGCCCAGGAGGAGGCTACACTCCGGGTGGAGTGAGCCCTCACCCCCAGGGGTCATGGATCACCTCGGGATTGGTACACCAAGGCGATGGCATCCACAATCCAGTGGGCCAATATCTGCTTGGAGACAGCCTTCCCCTTCTGCTGGTCTCAGTAGCAGACCAAGAGTAGCTCACTGAAAATGCTTGCAGGTCCCTGACCCTCTTGATGGAGATGAGCGTGGTCAGGAGCACTGTTTTAACAGACAGGATCTTAAGCTCAACTGTCTCCAGCGGCTCAAAGGGATCCCTCTGAAGTCCTGTCAGGACAACAGAGAGATCCCAGGAGGGCACGAGGGGTGGCCTAGGGGGGTTTAACCTTCTGACACCCCTCAGGAACCTGGTGATCAGGTCGTGCTTCCCCAGGGATTAGCCGTCCACTGCATTGTGATAGCAGTGACAAAGACTTTCAAGGTGGAGGATGACAGCCTACACTCCAATCTTTCTTACAGGAAAGAAAGCATGACTCTGATCGGGCATCTTCGGGGGTCTTCTCTGTGAGAAGAACACTAGTCAGTGAACAGACTCCACTTCAAGGTATAAGCTTGTCTGGAAGAGGGAGCGCTGCCTTGAGTGATAGTGTCTACCACTGCTGGTGGCAGATCACTTAAGTCTGCCGTGTCATTGTGTCAAGGTGGACATTGCCTGCCCGAGGGACCGCCCCATGACTTTAGTTGCCCGGAGGGCGAAGTCAGTCGCCATGCACAGCTCATGCATCAACCTCAGGTCAGTACTGCCCTCGTGCATCTGTTTGAGTGACTTGGCTTGCTGAACTTGCAGGATCGCCATGGTGTGCAGGGTAGAGGCTGTTTGGCCCACAGCACTGTAAGCTTTGGCAGCAAGAGCTGACATCAGCTTACAGGCTTTGGACGAGAGGCGCGGACAATTCTTCCAGCCGCGCTCCATGCCGAGAAACAAATCTTCCAGCCTTGAGCACTCAGGGTTGTGCGGTGTGTTCACCTCCAACCCAACGCTCATGGCTGCCGTCAACTTTGGGTCCAATTCGGTGGAAGCCACAACACCCGATGGGCCCAGCAGAATCTTCATCCTCAGAGGACAATAGCCCATCCCACAATGTTGCTATCGACATCTGATCCTTTGGCGGAGCCTCGAATGAAAGGCTGGGACTGTCATGTGACGGGCCAGCGGAATCACCTGGAAACTGTACGGGACAAGCACTGCATGAGGAGTGGGAGGTCTGTGGGGACTGGCCCGCCGGATTTGCTCCCACTGTAATCCTCAAATCTCCCAGAGAACAAACCAACATGGCCCTGTGCTGTGCAGAGGAAACAGGACGGGTAGTGACAGAGGGGTCTCTTCATTTCCTCAGAAAGGAGAGACGCGATCGCAGCGTCGCCATGGTAATGCTCTCACAGTACGGGCATGAGTCTTCAGTGTGCTCTATGCCCCGACACAGAAGACCGTGGCCATCATCAGGGTAAAGGAAACTACCGCAACCAAGAGGACATGGACAGAGTGGCATCTTGAAAAAGATGCAGACCGTCCGCAATTTGCTCTTTTAGAGGAAACTTCTCTTTTATTGTTGAAGCGCCCAGGGGAATCACCACTGCACCTAGGGAACACTGCTGAATGCGCTGTCACGCCTACAACCGAAGAGAGTGAGCTCATGAGGTAAATGGCTTTGTGGATTGTAAAAATACAACCACTTGGCACCGAAGCAAAAATCAGAATGATTGCTGCCAGTACCACCGCTCCCTATACGCAGAGTACATAGTTTGTCTAGGGCACCAACTCCCAGGGGGTTGGGATGGGCACCATCCCAGTTGCTCAAAAAAAACATTTGTTCTATATTAATATTAACATATACATATACGTAAATAAAAATATAAACATGAACATGTATACATAATTATAAAAAATGCGATTTACGTGAATGCAGTAGACAGGCGAAGCACACGAGACATGCCATTCCAGCATCCACGTCCCCACCCGTGCCTGCGCTCGCTCTCACCTCATGTTTGCGGCTGACTGCAAATGATCATAACTGATGAACAACTATGCCCGGGAAAAGACAGCAGTCAGTAAAAATCAGTAGTCCAGCGCCGAGATAAGAAAAAGAAAAAAAGCCCAAGATGAAGCCCGTGCATCACTTTTAGGTACGTTCATAATCCTGTGAAACCTTTTTGGATGTTGACGTTAATAACGTGTTTTAATGTCGGTAATAATATCACCGCCGCATCTGCCTTAATATTCTCTCAGAGTTTCCATGTTCCCTTACAAAAATTAACCATAATTTTACTACGAATTAAAAAAAAAACATGGTTCTTGTAGCAATGGTAACCACAAATTAACCATGGTTTTGATACTTCAAATCGCTTCAAATAATAATTTACGAAGTATTCAGATAATATTTTTGTGGTAATAAAAACAGACCTAAGCGAACAACAACCTTTAAAATGACATAAAATGCATTATATAAAAGCAATGAGGCAATAATGATTGGTTAATTAATAATAATCGTATGGTTTCATTGAATAACACTGTTAAAACACATAATGTAATTCAAAATAAACAATTTATGTATATTACATATTATTACAAATGCCTACAAAGGGTGCCAAAGGCCTGGTAATTGTTGTTGTAACACTTACAGAATGATCAAATCCTTGTTTAAAATTTATCAAACATTTTGTTAAAATATCCACTTAATCTTTAATGCTTGGCCACCTTTTGCTATAGAAATGCTAGCCTCTATAATTTCTTCAACAAAAACATGTGGACATCATCACAACCTTTACAAAAACGAATCCTAGGGTTTTATCAAAGTAAAACTGCTTAATTTTCTTTTGTGTGATTTCTGAATGCTTGAGACTATAAAATCAATCAGACATAGATGACTGTCAAAAAGCTCCAATTGTAATTTGTAAATTATACAATTTAATTACAATTTAGTTATTTACTTTTATATTTGATTAAAGTTATATTTTGACCCCTATAGAAGGTGTTTTTTTTAACTTCCATAATATTTTGGGGAGGGGTCACAACAATACAATTCTGCTTAGGGCAGCCATTTGGCCAGTAGCTGCCCTTATTGCCGCTTTATATTTATTGCGTGTGTACGGGGGAGTGGCTTAATGCAAAATCCACTCACCAATTCTCATTGGCCTTTTCTCTTAAACTCAGAGGTGATTGGGGCTCCCAAGACCCCTAATGTTGTCACGACATTACTCGTAGTGACCCATATAGAGAAAACCTAACCTTGATAACACTGAACTTAGCCTTACAGTATCTCATTGTGGTTTTATACAAAAACATGTGGACATCATCACAACCTTTACAAAAACGAATCCTTGGTTTTATCAAAGTAAAACTGCTTAATTTTCTTTTGTGTGATTTCTGAATGCTTGAGACTATAAAATCAATCAGACATAGATGACTGTCAAAAAGCTCCAATTGTAATTTGTAAATTATACAATTTAATTACAATTTAGTTATTTACTTTTATATTTGATTAAAGTTATATTTTGACCCCTATAGAAGGTGTTTTTTTTAACTTCCATAATATTTTGGGGAGGGGTCACAACAATACAATTATGCTTAGGGCACCCATTTGGCTAGTAGCACAAAATTCACAAAAATGTTACTGAGCAACTGACGAGTAACAAGTTCAGCTCAGATTTTCCTCGTGTTTTGGACTTTGAATCCTGGTGCCGCGAGCTCGTGCAGCGCTGTCAGAATACATGCAATTCGTGCGTGCATCAGAAAATATAACATTCTGCAGTTTATTTACTAATGGTTTGAAGCCATTTCGCGATTTCAATCATCATACAGTAGCCCAGTGGTTCTCAAACCTGTCCTGGAGTACCCCCAGTCCTTAACATTTTGTATATCTCCCTCATCTATCACACCTGATTTAACTCATCAGCTCAACTTCCATAATATTTTGGGGAGGGGTCACAACAATACAATTCTGCTTAGGGCAGCCATTTGGCCAGTAGCTGCCCTTATTGCCGCTTTATATTTATTGCGTGTGTACGGGGGAGTGGCTTAATGCAAAATCCACTCACCAATTCTCATTGGCCTTTTCTCTTAAACTCAGAGGTGATTGGGGCTCCCAAGACCCCTAATGTTGTCACGACATTACTCGTAGTGACCCATATAGAGAAAACCTAACCTTGATAACACTGAACTTAGCCTTACAGTATCTCATTGTGGTTTTATGGTATTCACTTTTTTACCATTTTACATTTACGCATTTGGCAGACACTTTTATCCAAAGCAACTAACATTGCATTTAATGTATTTAAGCAGTTCTTGCTCTTCCTGGTAATCGAACCCATAACTTTGCTGACCCAACACTGCTAAAAGAAAACAACAATTTAGTTATTGACGAATAGTCCTTGTGACTCCCCGTGTGACAACTAGCCCCGGTTGTGTACAACACTGCCACGCTAATTTGAAAGTTACCGAACACAAACATTAGCAAAACAGGCCAGGCGTTTATGGTGGGATGGTAAGACTTGCTTGGCTCACCTTCAACAATGTTCCAGTGCAGCCTGCGGTTATCCAATGAGAGCCCAGCCCTCCTCCCCCTGCTCTCCTCTCCCGCCTCCTCCGCGAGCTCTCATCTCTCCGCTCCGCGTGCAGCCACTGACTGGTGCTGTCTCGCGGCGTTTGGAGATCTTGCACGCGCGCTGTATGGATGCTGAAGCTTTGGCGCTGCTATAAACGCAACACGGAATCAACATGTCCAACCCTCCGCACGACCCGTTCTACTCGTCCCCTTTCGGACCGTTCTACCGGAGACATTCACCGTACATGGTGCAGCCTGAGTACAGAATCTATGAGATGAACAAACGACTCCAGTCCCGGACAGAGGTGAGTTTGGCATCGCTCCACATGAGACAGTAACAGCTGTAGTTTGGGAAAAGTTATGTTAGTCAGTGCGTTTGCAAAATTATTCTAATTTTTTCCTAACTGGACAAAATTGAGAGTGTGAACTAAGTGATGAAACTATCTGACTTTGTGAGCACTGTAACCTTTCTCAAGCCCTTTTTTTTAAATTGACATTATTTAGGCACTGTATACAGAAGCAACCACTTTGATCACTAATTAAAATCCATGTGGAGGTAGTAAGTTAATGAACAGCGCAGAGCAATGCTGCTTCTCTTCTGACACAACTGTTTTAAATAAAGATTTAAAAATGAACTTCAACAATAAAAACTATACAAGCGTGGCTACTAATAACCTGGCTGATGATTTGAAGGATAACGGAAATTAGTCAAATATGTGAAAGATGCCAAAAGTGTTTGATTTGCTATGTAAGAGAAAATAAACAGTCCCACAAACTTTCCTGCAAAAGTGAAGTCAGCATTGGACTGAAAAGCATTATTTGATTTCAGTATTTTAGATGTATTCAGACCTTCAACATCTGCCTGTTGTCATCAGCACCAAACAGATGATCTTAATAATTATTAATAATATAAAAAAATTAATATTGTTGTGGAAAGGTGAAAATTCAAGGCAACGTGATAGAATTTGAATTTAGTCTATTTGAATTTCACTTCACCAAAACCAAAACAGCCAATTAATTGTTGTCAAGATAACTATATATTTCTCATTCTCAAATTTTCAATCAATAACACAAAATATTTGAATCTTCATTGTTATGTATGCTGTTTATGGCATTTAACATCAAGGGAACTTGGCAATCTGACGGAGAGATCAGATGAAATAGTTGTATTTATAGATGCCCACAGATCTCAGTAACGGTGAAAACAAATAAGCATAATAAGATTTTAGCATCACCTCACAAAAAACTAACAGTGACAACAAAAACTGTATAAATAAATCCAGCAAACAGTAAAAACAATAATCCTTTAACAGTAAACACATCATTTATTTATTTTGCAGTGCATGTTGGGGACTCACATATACACTTAGCAAATCATCAGTACTGTTCTATATTAAGTTTATTCAGACAACTCTGTAGTTGGGGGGGAATATCGTTGGTCTAACATGTGCTTTTATGTAGATTCAAAGTAATTTTCATTTCCTTGTATCTGTGACTCAGAAAACCCATATGCTGGATGAAATGTAATTGCTTGCCTTTTTTAAACAGTGAAATCAGTTTAATGACAACAAAGCACGGACTTTATGTACTTGAAACACTTCCAGCATTTTTACCCCCTTTAGTGTACTTTTAAAATAATACAGTACAACAGCTGTAAATAATAGCTGTAAATATTTGTGCTGTGATACACGGACGTGTCTGTAATGCTGATCCCAATGGAAAATAGTTTTCTTCAAAGATCTGCTGGTTATGATGCAAGTCTGCCCACAAATTCCCCTTGGGTCTCCTCTTGCAACCTCTAACTCCTCAAACCATCTCTGAATTCCACTCACCTGTCAAAAAAAAAAAGATCAATAATTACAGTATTTATTGCTATCACAATAAGTCATACCCATTTGTATGTTATACTGTATACAGAACAGCTTTTGAAAATTATCTTAATTGTCCCATTGAAAATCAGCATTAAATAAGCTAATGAAGTGCACTGTAGCCTATTGCTGTTGCAGTTCTGGCACGTGAGCGTCTGCTCATGTGTTTGATGGAGGTGTTGTAACTTTTAAGGAGAACTGGGCTGTATTGCAGAGATGCAATGGAACAACATCATGAATAATGCATAAGCAGTGGCCCAAACCCTGAATACTTCCATTCTGAAACGCCACTTACCAAATGGCCTATATTAAACATGTGCCAATATATCATTTTAATCTTCACAACCTCACTTTGGCATAAAAGGGCATTTGCTAAGATTAAATCTTTACATGTGTGATTGATCTTGATAAGATATTTCATTGTGAGGGTAACAATAAGTTTAGTTGATGAATGTGTTTTGCTTCTGGAAACTGTTGCAATCTCAAAAGGGGTAAAAAAGAGAAAGAGTATACAGAGAAATATAATTAAGAAAAATATATTTTTTTAAATATTGTTAAAGTATAATTTAATTTGATTCAGATTTTATTTATTTTTTTACTCATCAAGGTTTCCAAAATTAATAAACACATTGTTACTGGAATCAATAATTGACTCTGTGTATCACACTTTGTATCACAGCAGTCAGTTCAGCAACGCATATCGTTTTTGTAGCACCTACTGCGCACCACTCAGCAGTTGCATCGTTCTAGAAAAGTCTGGAACAAACATTCTGACACCTTGTTTACTGTTTTATACCTGCAACATTTGGTACCTCCAATGTTTTCATGTTTCTTTGAGAATTTTGTATAGATTGGTAGGCTCAAATGAACAAACATCCCTGCTCTGTGCACACATATCCATCTGGTAGATGGTAGAAATGTTTGTAAAAGGTCTGATATCTTGCATCCCTTTTGCAAATTGTAGCATGTATAGGTCTAGAGCCTTGCCACGGCGGCATAATAATAATGCAACTCTATTGCTAATATCTTTGCAAACAGTGAGCGCAATATTTATTAACCAAGCCCGCTGATGTGCATTTGAAGCCAGTGGTAATTTAGCTCAGATTTTACAAGGGAGAGTTCCCCCCACAGCCATCCATCATGTAGACATGCAGACTTTCTTAGTTTAAGAGCTGCAGGCAAACACTGAAACAACAGGGGGAGCGAAGCGCCAAAGTATCCACTGTCAAACAAAGGTGTTTAATAACCACTTGGCTCTATATTTCTTTGCATCAGTCATTTAATGACTGTACATTAAAGCTAGCTAATCGATGTATTAGTGCTTAAAAACATGGGAATTACGCTCCATGGTGCACATCACATGACTGGAGTGAAAGTAGAATTGAACAAAAGCAGGAAGGAGCTCAGGAAAGCTAGACAAGAGGGCTCAAGAGTCCCGACTCTTGACTCGAGTGTTCTCAGTACAGAAGCTGGTGATTGATGTATTTTATTGTCCAGAGGCTAAAACTGTTAAGCCCATTTGCTGGCAGCAAACTAACTTCAGAGCAGAGCAGTTTGAGTGTTGCGTTTTAAAGAGCGCCAGAGAGTTTGTCATGAAATGGAAAATTTTAATAATATATATTGTTCAAATATTTTCTCCAATCCCAGCTTAATATCTTAAAGTCACCAATCATTCATCAGTTGATTCCCTTGAAAGTGTAAATAATGTGATTCTATGGTGTAATCAAAACATTACTGTTTGTTGCTATCTGATAGATCTAGTTTTTTAATGTCAAAAGTTAAGCTTTTTGGCTGTTAGTATGAATATGTTAGCCTTAAGGTTATCTATAAGCTTGTGTGTTCCAAAACACTGACAAAATTTGCATTTAGAAGATGTATGCATTCAAAATGTAGTCTCTCTACCATCAATACAGAGCATTGATTTTGATGACATCATACTGTACATCAGTTTCTCATCAGATTTTCTGCCCAATCAAATGCTTTCTAGAATCCGAAGCATCCCGCCCCTTAAGGTGCTGAAACTTCAGCTGAAATCAATTGCTTGTTCACACATTTAGTATGTTCTATATGGCAAAAGACACATAGCACACTATGTAAGGGATAGGGAGCAATTCACATAGTTTAAACATGCTTTCCATTGGGTGAACAAAGTCTGGGTTTGCATCAGTGTCAAGCGAGCCTCCACAGAGTGGAACATATGCATCAGTTGATGTGGACCACAAAACATATCCGACCCATCTGAATTTTATGCAGAATGTCGTATTTTAAAGCAATGGAGGAGATCAAATAACACAAATGGTTAGATTTTAGGCATTATAAACAGCACTGATTGGTAGAAGAGATAACATTGGTGCCACGCACCTATAAATTACACTATTTTTAAACAACACATCATCAGCTTTTCTAAAAATGATCACAGTTTATCTTTTTTCCTGTAGTAACAGTTTAAATTCTAAAGGGGGAACTATTAGACTAATAGAATGCAACTTAATAAAAATGTGATTTTGACAGGCTGACACGTAAATGAAATGCTTTTGTAAAACGCTATTTTTAAAAAAGGGAATGAGTCACTAGATATGTCCTGCCCTGACTTCCTGTTTCAGTGTAAATTATGTTATCACATTGAATAACTCTGTGTATTTCAAGGCACTTCAGTTTGACTTTAATAAAGGGGGCATGTTTGGGGAAACCTGCTTGAAAACAATCATTTTTAGAGATGCACCGAATATTCGGCAACCGAAATTATTCGGCCGAATAAGCGAAAAGGCCGAATAATATGTTCCGAACAATGACTAACGCGATCAAATAGAGGCATGCACTAATGCAGCAAACATGTCGGCAATGTGAACGTATTTAAAACTATCAGAGAAAGACGCAGAAATCATTACATGCACGAAGCACCGACAGCGAGAGACCGTTTAGTGCTGGGCACTTCAGTTTGACTTTAATAAAGGGGGCATGTTTGGGGAAACCTGCTTGAAAACGTCTCAGGTTACTTATGTAACCATGGTTCCCTGAGTAGGGAACGAGACACTGCAAGCACTTCAGTTTGACTTTAATAAAGGGGGCATGTTTGGGGAAACCTGCTTGAAAACAATCATTTTTAGAGATGCACCGAATATTCGGCAACCGAAATTATTCGGCCGAATAAGCGAAAAGGCCGAATAATATGTTCCGAACAATGACTAACGCGATCAAATAGAGGCATGCACTAATGCAGCAAACATGTCGGCAATGTGAACGTATTTAAAACTATCAGAGAAAGACGCAGAAATCATTACATGCACGAAGCACCGACAGCGAGAGACCGTTTAGTGCTGCATCACATCTCCGGTGAGAAGAAGAGGTGGCTAATGCTGGTGGTTAGGTTACTGTATGATGACTGAAATCGCGAAATTACCTTTAAACGATTAGTAAATCAACTGTAGAATGTTATA